GGAACTTGTTCCAGAACGCCTCCAGGGGCCACGGGCGGCGCGGCGGCAGCACGGGCTCCCGCGGGCTCAGCTCCTGGTCCTTCAGCCACCGCCGTCGCAACACCCGCAGCTGCTGCAGCCGCAGCTTCTCGTCCGGCGTGTACCCGCTCATCTCGGCGCCGCCGGCGGGGCGAAGGCGCGCGGCTCCCCGGCCCGAGCTCGCGCTGCACCTCGTCCGCTCCGCAGGGCGACCTTCGCCGACGCCCGCCCGCGGCCGCGCGGGGCTGTGACGTCACATCCGGAGCCAGCCTCCGCGGCGTCGCCGGACTCCGGAAGAGGCGGCCGGGGCGGAGCATGCGCAGAGCTGTCCACCCGCGGTGTTATTGACCCGATACCCAGAAGGAGGATGGGTCGGTGATTCCTGAGTAAGCGGGTGGGGAGGGTGGTGACAGGCAAAATTAAATTTCTAAAAAGCAATCCCCAAAAATCCGATCTAGAACACTACCCATGGATCAAACTGATATAATTGGCAGGATAATCTCAGAGACACACGATTCCAGAAATCTTTCACCCATCAGTTACTGCATGTCCATAAAGCTAAGCCTCAAACACAGACAAAAAGTAAAACTGCAAGAAAAAAGGTCTTGGACTATTTTTAAGCAGTTGTTGGGAATGGTCTTCGTGGGTATGGTCCCGCTAATACGACTCTGAAAAAAATTGTTAATGTTAGTATTGTTGTTAGGCAACAAGGACATAATATAAATATAGACACTGAATAAGATTGATTTAAAACCCTCTGGTCCTGAATTCTGAGTAGGAAAAATCAGTGTGAATTCCCGATGCATCTGATCTTTAAAAAGAGGTATCATTTTGTCTTAGTCTGTTGATTAAAGATGTTTAATCACCAGTGTTTAAAAAATGGTCAGCCCTGTACCCAGGCAGCTCTGGTCCCTGAACCGGGCCGCGCCTGCTAGGCAGGTTTTCCCACTGAGCTGCAAGCTCGGCCTCAGAGATGAATGACATGAGGAGTTGAATGTTGCTGTTTGACAGTTTTGTGCTTGCTTTTGCACTTGATCTTAGCCAAAAGGCGGAGACCCGGTTGTGCTTGCTTTTAATGTCTGTTTTAATAAATGACAGCAGAATTCTTTTAACTGCTTCTGTATTCGCTCACATATCATGGACTACTCTTTGTACATTTGGGGGAGAATGAGAGTTTTAAAAGAAAAAGAGCATGTCGGTATTATTATGGAAATAATTTTGACCTCACAGAGTCCATAAAAGGATCATGGACACATTTACACAGTGATTGATTCAGTCTCTGCCTAACCCAGTGAGTGCTATGGAAAGCTTGCTGTGACGTAAACGTAAATCTTTTTTTTTTTTTTAAGTGGTATAACAGCAGGCTGAAATTTAAATATGTATTTTTTTTAAATCACCAAATCTATGTGAAAATAAATCAATTTGGGTTATGCTGAAATGTTGTGGGCTTTTGATCTCCTTTCCAACTACATTTCTGACTGCATAAAAATAGCAATTTTTAAACAGCCATTTGTACTTCAAAATGTTTTTGTCTATCAGTATTAACTATTGGAATACTACTGTTTTGTATTTTTTTCCTTTGAGACAACAGTACATTTAATAGAGGTACAATTCGTGGAATTTTTGTTTATGTATTTATTTCAGTCCAGTTTGATTTATTTTAATTGTTACTTGTGAAACAGTAGCCATTACTTATTTTATTTGTGGTATATTTCAGCTTAAAGTTATGTTATTATATGTGGATGTAAATATAGATTTGGTGTATTGAAAAAAAAAGGATCATAGACATTCCCAGGGTTCCCGAAGCCATTCTTTAAGAAGCACCGTCTTAGAGAAATAGCTAATTCCAGGTCTAGGTTAAGAAATATAAAAATAAGTCTGGGTCTTCTTGTCATACTAGAAAGTAGGAAAGTTTTAAAGACTAATAGGGTTATGTTAAAAGGATTTGGAAGCCAACTTGAATTGGATCCCAGTGCAGAGATGGAAAAATTTGAGCATCAATTAATAACCTTAGTGGGTTTTAAAATATCGAATATATTCATATACACGAATTCAAAATAATTTTTTAAAAAATTTATTTGTTACTTTTGGATTATGTTAGGGAACCGACTGGTTATTTTGAAATATGATAAGAAAAAAAGCCTTTTTTAGACACTCTATACAATTTACATCTAAAAGTAACAAGATAGTTCAAATTTCTTCAAAGAAGCATAAAAAACTGGTTAAAAAAAGAAAGATTGGTAGAGTTAGAATATCATCCTTTTGCAACCCTTGTTTCATAAATCAATCCGTGACAGCGGTGGCGCCCCCTAGTGGAAGGCTTATTTAACACAGTACTTATGAAATCTGCACCAGAGTCTGGGCACGTTTCTAGATGGAAATGCACCTGAGAAGGAAATGCAGGGGACAGAGGCGCTCCGTACTCCAACCGAAGTGGCACAGGCGCATAAACCCGGGCCGTAGGGAATGCACGCCAGGGACTCTCTTCTTTGTATATATTTGCAGTTCATACCGTTTGCAGTCGTCCTGGGGAGCGGTCACATGTACATACCGCTCTTGTTTCCTTTTTAATCTCGTTCCCCTCTCCCCCGCTGCCCGACATCCCTACCCACATTTTCATTCTTGTTGATATTATCAATATTAGCTCATGCTGTGGCGTGTAATGTTTACACTGATTGGGGTCCAGTACGCACCGGGGCCCTAATATTCTACTCATGATTCTGCTTATTTCCCCCTCTGCTCCTCCTCACCCCTCCCGCGTTTTCCTTTGGGCCGCTTCTGTATGACAAGAGCTCTAGCTCCTCATTCCTTTCTAGCCATCCTTGTTATTCTCTTTGTACTTTGCCTCACTCACATGAGAGAGAACATGTGGTATTTAAGCTTGTGTCTCTGGCTTCTTTCACTCCATTACATTTTCCAGTGTATCCCTTTTCCTACGAATGTCTCAGATCTGTCGCTCTATAGCAGAGTAGATCCCATCGTGTATAGATCACCTTTTAATCCGATCGCCTGTTGTTGATAGGTGTGCAGGCTGTACCCAGGGTTTTGCTGCTGGGAGTTGTGCTGCTGTGAGCATCGCTGTCGTAGGGTGTGACTCTGTTTCTTAAACACAAGTATATGTTTAGGGTAAAACAGAGGAGAGTCCAAAGGGGGCCAAGACGGAAATTTGAACACTATCGTGATATGTTATGATACTGAGGAACTGATGTCAATTCTGAGCTTTTTAACATAGGATGACATTGTAGTTATATTTTCAAAAAGGATAGTTCTAATCTCCTAGCAACACGGCCTTTTATAACGTGTAGATGGAAGAATACGGTTCTTAGAATTTACCTTTAAATAATCGTGGAGGGAGGAAGTGCGTGGGTAACAAGACAGTAGTGAGTTAGCGATTGTCAAAGCTCTCCGAAAGGTAATAAGGCTCACTATGGTCCTCTCTTTATACTGTTTCGTGTATATTTGAAATTCTTTCAAATAAAGTTTTTAAATTTATGCCTTAAGTAAACTATGTATTTAAGCAGTTTTTAACCTGCCTTCTGTCTCGTGCCAGCTATGTTTTGTGTGTGTGTCAGCTACATTTCGTGTTACAGTCTTGCAGACTGCCTAGGTTAGAGCCCTCAACGCTGTTATATTAATGCCGAGGTGAGAGTGACTCCCTGAGTGTCCAACCACGTTAGAAAGGACCCCATGTCCCGGTGAGGCAGTTGATAATCCAAATGAATGTGCCTTTTGTAAGTGGGGCTAACTATGTGTAGTCTTCTCCTTAGTCTGAAGCCGTTATTCTGGCTAACTCCGGGTGTTACTACAGTCCCCCACTGCCTGCCACTACTGTATTTGAAAAGAAAATCTTATCGTTTAGAAAGATATAGTTTTGGGGCTGGGGATTTAGCTCAGCGGCAAAGCGCCTGCCTGGCAAGCGCAAGGTCGCGAGTTCGGTTCCCAGTACCGGAGAAAAAAAACCAAAAAAAAAAAAAAAAAAAAGAAAGATATAGTTTTATAACCCTGGCGACTAGCTAGCATATTCCAGCCCTTCCCGTTTACTCAAGGCTGTAAAATTCGCGAGGCTGAGGAGAACAGAAACAAAGCAGTGAGAAAAGTGTTCAGTTTGGCACTGCCCGGAAAAGCGGGCTCAAATTCAGGTGGGCGGCAGTACCTTGATGACGACTAGGCCTTCCCACAAGAGGGCGCTCTAGCTCGCGGAAAGATTCCGCACACACCAGAACTGGGTATTATTTGAGGCCTCAGTAACCAGCCCGCAAGGCTGCGAAGGATCTAAATTTTAGTGCGCGAGAAAGAATGGGCCGGGAGAGGAGATGAAAAAGTGTCTTCCATCAGTAAACTGACCTCTTCACCTTTCTGCCTACTAAAGTCTACACTTCCAGCTACCTTTGCTAAACCCAGCAGGGGCCTTGGTTTGCCCCCCGGCAGAGTGTACTAGTTAGGAAAAGCAGGACATTGAGGCCCCCCCTTTTTTTTTGTCTGTGTGTGTGTGTGTGTGTGTGTGTGTGTGTGTGTGTGTGTGTGCCAGGAATCAGACTCAGGACCTTGCGCTTGGCAGGCGGGCGTGGTGCCCCTGAGCTACGCCCCAGTCCTAAGGCCCGGTCTTTAGCAGGTGGTATACACAGAGGCTAATCTGAGCGCAGGACCTGGCCGCCGGAGTGCAGCCAGAAATTGAGGTAAGCGTTCCGCACGGTTCCTTTTTGTCTTTCTGTCAGTAATTTAAGTCTTCATGCTTTCTTCACTTGCATTGCTTAACGCAAATAGTTGAAAAAAAAATTAACTTTTTTCTAGAAATTCCTTTATCTCCATATAAGAGTCTTTCATATTTGTTGTTTGGCTTTAAAAAAATTATATTGTCTTACCACACAAGGCATCATTATTTGCAAGATGGCAAGGAGAAAAATGTACCCGTGTTAATCAGAAAAATCTGTGAAAAGATGTACAAGGGGCAGTCTCCTAAAAAATCTCTACTTGGAAACAGTGCTTTGGAAATGTACGAAGCCAGCATAATCAGCAACTTCACGGTGAAGGCCGCTACTCACATGGGCAGAAATTCTCACGCTCTGTGCCAGCGATGTCTTGATCTGCACCCTCCGCTGGACATCTGGGGAGCACAGCTGGTAGGCCAAGCACTGCCTTACTATCCTTCTGAGACCAGCTGAGCAGAATAACTTACCTGTCTGATGTCTTTTCTTGTTTTTTGCTTTGTCTTTTCGTTGTGTTTTGGTTTTTGCCGTACTGGGAGTTGAGCCTGGGTCTTA